TCGAAATCTTTCGAACGCCCTTGCCCGCGTGCCGTCGCGAGAATCCTCTGCAACAGATAAGAAAACGAAGTGCACACGCGCGCGTCGTCGCGCGCGCATGCCGAAAGCCTTCGAAACCTTCAGTTTCGGAAGGACTCCAAAACCGAATGTCAAAACACATGCGAAAAACACATGGTTTCGCAGCATCAGTTTTCAAAAAAAGCTTGCGCGCGCGCTCTTGCGAATTCTTACGACAACCTATGAGTTATGCCAAACGGGCCTCTAGCGCCGCATGCCGACATCATTCGCACGCCCTGGCGCGCGCGCTGGGGGCGCACGATCCGTGTCCTCCTCCTCCTCCTCCTTCTCCTCCTCCTTCTCCTCCCTTTCCTTCTCTTGCTTGCGCACCCACACCCGCATCGGCACCCGCGCCATGGAGGGGGGAGGAGGGGGAGGAGGGGGAGGAGGGGGAGGAGGGGGAGCAGGAGGAGGAGGAGGAGGAGGAGGAGGAGGAGGAGGAGGAGGAGAAGGAGCACGTCCAACCCGCCCCCCATCGGGCCACTGGATGCCACGGCCCCCCCCGTGCACCGGCCGGCTCGCCGGCGGTACCGCTCGGGCAGCTGAACGGGCACCTCGCGGCGGGGGGGGGTGGCCCACACCTCCTCATGCAACTCTGGACCAAGCGACGGCGGACGTGCCTTCGGCGCTCGGGGTCCACGAAAGGGGGGGGACCCTGAGGAGGGGGGTGAGTTCGATCCGCTTGTGCATCGCATTTCCGAAAAACGATGCCCCCCGCGCGCCCCGATTGTTGACACCTCTCGGGTTCCGACGGCGGCCAGAGACCTCGTTTTGAATCGTTTTTCTGCGGTTTGATGCGCCAACTGACCGCACCCCCCCCCTGTGGCACCCCCCCCTTTGCGAGGTCCCCGATAGAATGGAGGCTGGCCACAAGAAACCTTCCACAAGAAACCCGACCCTGAGACCCCAGGGCGCCCACTGATTTTTGCTGCGGGAACGTCACGCTGTCCATAGCAAAACCACCCAAACCCAGGAAACCCAGGGCACCCTGGAGGCAAGCAGGGCGTTTCTTGGCATGGGTCCCCCCTGTACGAGCCTTTGAAGGCCCGCCTGGGGGCTTGGGGATTTCAAAGCAAACGCAGCGAACAGCATGTTCTCGGAAATCGGCAGCTCTGGGAGAGCCCAGAGAGAAAGGCGACGTGGGAGGTCTGGGGGGGAGGCGTGCCGCGTAGGGCTCCTCTGGATACTCACTCTCTCTCTCTCTCTCTCTCCGAGTCTCTCCCGTCGAGTCGCACCACTTCAGCATGCCCCACCCTTCCCCTGTCAAAATGGCCATTCACCGCCCTGCGCGCATCCCACTCTCACTCACTATTCGAACACCTCTCTCTCTTCGTGTATTTCCTCCTGTCTCCCTCCATCTCTCTCTCTCTCTCTCTCTCTCGCTCTCTCTCGCTATCTCTGTCTCTCTCACTCTGTGTCCCTTGTTCTCCGTCTCTCTCTCTCTCTCTCTCTCTCTCTCCGTCGCTCTAGCTATACCTATTGAAACCTAGACGACCACCCTTCGGGTGATAAGGAGGTTCGGGAGGGGAGAACCAACGTCTCATTCAATCGATCTCACTATCGATCTAGCTATCGATCTCGAAATCGATCTCACTATCGATCTGGCAATCGATCTCATTATCGATCTCACTATTGATCACACTATCGATCTCACAATCGATCTCACTCTCGATCACACCGCCGATCGCACGCTCGGCCTCACTATCGGTCTCACTATCGGTCCCACCACGGGACACCGACGGGACACCGACGGGACACGGACGGGACACCAACTAGAGGCCTTCTAGATGGGGTCCGAGTAGATGGGGTCGAAGGATCGAAACGCATCGCCGATACATCCGCGATGCATCGGCGATGCATCGGCCACACACTGGCGACGTCGATGATACATCCGCGACGTCCGCGTGGAGAAAATCGGGCCCCGCATCGAGCCGCATCGCCGATGCATCGCCGATGCATCGGCGATGCGGCGCGATCCTCCGACCCCATCTGCTCGTACCCCATTTGGGAGGCCTAAACCAACGGGACTCCGACGGGATGCCGACGGGACACCGACGGAACACCAGCGGGACACCGACGGGACACCGACGGGACGGCGACAGTACAGCCACGGAACACCAACGGGACACCGACGGGACACCGACGGGACACCGACGGGACACCACGGCGGGACAATAACCCGGCCACCGCCCGCCCTCCAGGCGAGGAAGGAGGGGCGGTCGGCTCTTTCCCCGCCATAGCCGCAGCGGAGTCACTCCCCTCTCGCCCGCGCAGGCAGTTTCGCCTCGCCCGAACGCAGGCCACGAACCCGAAACCGAAACCGATTCCCCAGTGGGAGGCTTTTCGTGCAATTTGGATGTCACCCCTCAACCTCCGATAAACGCAAACAATCTATATATATATATATACACGCACACACACACACCTATACGACCACCCTTCGGGTGATAAGGAAGTTGTGGGGGGGGAGGGGGGGAAGCAACATCTGACCCAATCGATCTCACTATCGATCTCACTCAACGGGACACCACGGGACACCACGGGACACCACGGGACACCACGGGACGCTTGTCGATCTCACTATCGATCTCACTATCGATCTCACTCAACGGGACACACGGGACACCACGGGCCACCACGGGGCACCACGGGACACCGCGGGACACCTCTCGATCTCACTACCGGTCTCACTATCGATCTCACTATCGATCTCACTAACGCTCTCACCCAACGGGACACCACGGGAGACCTCGGGACACCACGGGACACCTGTCAATCTCACTATCAATCTCGCTATCGATCCCACTTTCTGGGACACCACGGGACACCTCGGGGCATCACATCGATCTCAGTATCAATCTCACTATCGATCTCACTATCAATCTCATCGATCTCACTATCGATCCCACTATCGATCTCACGTTGCGGGACACCACGGAACACCAGGGGACACCGCAGGACACCGCCAGCCACCGCCGGACGGGGGAGAATCATTTGTCTTGACTTCGCCCTAGCAACGGCGGACACCACGGGACACCACGGGACACCACAGGACACCGCGGGACACCGCGAGCCACCGCCGGACGGGGGAAAATCATTTGTCTTGACTTCACCCTAGCAACGGCGGACACCATGGGACACGTCGGGATACTACGGGCCACCGCGGGACACCGCGAGCCACCGCCAGACGGAGAAGAGACATTTGTCTTGACTTCGCCCTAGCAACGGCGGGGCACCGCGAGCCACCGCCGGACGGAGGAGAAACATTCGTCTTGATTTCGGCCTAGCAACGGCGGGACAGGACACCGCGGGACACCGCGAACCACCGCCGGGCGGAGGAGAAACAGTTGTCTTGACTTCGCCCTAGCAACGGCGGACACCACGGGACACCGCGGGACACCGCAGGACACCGCCAGCCACCGCCGGACGGGGGAGAATCATTTGTCTTGACTTCGCCCTAGCAACGGCGGACACCACGGGACACCGCGGGACACCGCTAGGGCCACCGCCGGACGGACGGACGGACGGACGGCCGGGGGAGCAACATTTGTCTTGACTTCGCCCTAGCAACGGCGGGTTCATTCCTCTCTCGCGCCCACGCAGCTTCGCCTCGCCCGCACGCACGACACGAACGCAACGAAACGATTTCCCGGTTGGGGGTCTCCGTTCCACTGCGATCTCACCCCCCAACCTCCGATATGTATGTATACAAATATACAATACGTGTATGTGTGCAGATTTATGTGTGTACATGCATGCGCGTGCCAATCCCTGTCTATATATATATATATATGTATATACAGATATACACATATACAAACATACATGCATACATGCATACATGCATGTGTAAACATATACATACGCACAACTGTATCGGCCTCCCCCCTCTCTCTCTGTCTCTCTCTCTCTCTCTCTCGTTCTCTCTATCTCTCTCTCTCTCTCTCTCTCCCTCTCTCTCTCTCTCTCTCTCTCTCTCTCTATATATATATACGTACTAGAACCATCGCGCGCGCTTCGCGCGCGCTCAAGTTCTAGCGAGGCTTGATAGGCTAACTCGTGCAATGTCATGTTGGTCGCTTTTTGCGTCCAGGGACTCCCTTGGAGGCCCTACGCAAGCCTCGGAATCGTATAGAAGGGGAAGTGCGGAAACGCAAAAATCACTCATTTCCTTTAAGTATTACCCTCAAAGGCTTACTGGGTTCTTTTTTGGGAGGTGAGGGGGGTCTGAATTGTGGTCTGTTGTCCAAGAATGGACCGGGGGCCAAACTTGGAAAAAAAGAAAAAGGAATTGTGGGATTCCCATTTTTGTTCCAATTCCTCGGCGCTGTTCGGCGCTGTTTTTTGTTTGTGCCTCGCGGGTTCTGTTAGCCGGGACCCTCAGGGGTGTAGGATCTTCCAGACCCCCTGGGGGTTCTGGAGGCCTCCTGGAGGCCTGGAGAGCCGTCGGAAGGATGTCTCGGGCTGCGCGGGAGCATGTTGGGCCGTTCCTTACGTTCTGGGGGCTCCTTGGGGTCGCCTTGGGCTGTCCTTGGGCGTCTCGGGGGCCCCCCGGGAAGCCGGGAGGCGCGGTACCGGCCAGATGTCAGGGCCCGTCCTGGGCCCGCCTTGAGCTTGTCTTGGGAGGCTTCTGGGCGGTCTTGGGGCGGTCTTGGGAGTCTCCTCACTCGTCTCTGAGCGTTGGAAGCATGACACATCTAAAACATCGAAAACTTCGGAAATAAACGAAACTCAATGATTTGTGTTGCTCTCCCAGCTCTCTCGGGACGTCTCTCGGAGTTCTCTTGCAGTGTCTTGGAGGCGTCTGGAGGCCTCCTGGGAGCCTGGAGAGCCGTCCACAGACTGTTTTGGACTGCTTGAGAGCATCTCCAGCTGTTCTTTTGCATTCTGAGGGGTTCTTGGGGCTGCCGTGGGGCGCGCTGGAGCGTTTTGGGAGCTCCCCGGCAGTCCTGAGGGTCTCTTGGGTGGTCTTGGGGCGGTCTTGGGAGCCTCTTCGGAGCTCTTGGACCGTTGGAAGCTCGAAAACGCGAGAAGCCAAAACATAGAAAAAACAATGAAAATCAACGATGTGGCCCTCTTCGGGCCGTCCTGGGACGCCTCTCGGACCTCTCTTGGGGTCTCTTGGAGACCACCTGGGAGCCTCGAGAGCCGGCGGAAGGCTGACTTGGGCTGCTTGGGAGCGACTTGTGCCATCCTTTCGCATTCTGGGGGCTCGTGGCAAGCGTCATGGCCCTCCTGGAGCGCTGTGGAGGCTCCCCAGAAAGGCCGGGGGAGCGGTACCGGGAGCGTCCCCGAGATGTCACGGGGAGGCGTGGGACCCGGGGCCGGGGAGGGGGGCTTTTTCTTCATGATACATATGTATACACCTGTATATATGTAGATATACACATACATGCACATATGTATATACACATATAGACATACATATGTATATGTGTGTGTGGTCGCAACCCCTTGTGAGCATACCTGTCTCTGCTTCTCTGCTTCTTCCTCGTATTCCTCTCTCGTCTGTCTCCTCCCCCACTGCTCGTCCTACTCCTCGAGAGCAGGGGGG